TCAATTTCAACAAGACATTATTTTTGTGAAATGAAGCTCGACCGACGCTGCAATTCCCATAAAGTGCCCATTTGAATGAACGGCCCTGCTGCCGGTGCTACTGATTGCTCTCATCGATTTGTCGCATCGCCATAATGCTTTGTTTTCCATTCTTTATTTTTTCAAAAATACTTTTCTCACATGCGTATGGTCAGCGTAAAAAGCATTGTTTTGAGGAAATGTTTTCTGTTCTTTTTTGCCATCATTTTGTCATTTGTTCCAAATGAAGCTTTTCTTACGAACATCAGACATCCACCGATCTGCCTTGAACTCCACTTGTATGAGAGAAACAAACAGTCATTTCTTCCAGTTACTTGCTTGCAGTGCGGCAAAATCATTGCACAATGATTTCGATAATTTGCCAAGGCTTTAGAGGCGACTGCAGGCACAAGTGGTAGGCACTGCCACCAATAAGCTGCACACAAGCCGTACAATGGTCAGCAACAGTCGGCCTTCTGTGCACTGTCTTTCTTTCTGATTCCCCTCGCTAATCAGCACCTAAAAGATGTAGTGTGCATTTTAGAAAACTGAGAATAAAACTGTTGCTTCTCAAAGAGACACTGTTGATCTGCTCGTCAACATGGGCGCATTGTAGTTCTCGCTACAATGCTGGCCAAATTGCTTTCTATTCAGTGGCATCCCCGTCCCTAGACTGTCCGTCTGTGCGGGGAACACACTGTAAAGACAAAGGCAGATTGATTGCCGTAGACCAAATCGAAACGATGCTTCATTGTCTCGATAAGGTGTCAGTGTTCTGCACTGTGTCGATTAACTGCTACACAGCGCTACAGCACTACCACAAAAGAAGCACAACTTTTCTATCCGCCGTGCCGTTTTGTTGTTAAATCAGTTTTCCTCACCAGCAGCCTACAACAAGATTCAATTAGAAAGTGTTTTTGAACGCCTTTATTCGAACTGTTTCATCTCTTTTCTCGGCAACAAACACACATGCATACACAATTGCTTCACAAGTCTAAGGTCATGAGCATAATAAAGAGCATAATTAGCTTCTCTATAGCCAGTGGAGACGTAATTACATTAATGAAAAGAGGGAGACAGAAAATGAGACGCCACCGAGTGATGATGCTCAGTGCTCACTTTAGTGCCAGAACTTAGTGCATACCACTTACTACTTTACTTGCAGTCAAGTCCACTCACTCAATCGAACAGTCAGCTCACATACGCACACTGACATAGACATTGGTGAATGGAGTTGGCTCAGCTGGAATTATCTCATTAAATTGGCTTCTTGCCTAGCGATTGGCGTCTCTGCTACCTTTTGCCGTAATTGAGCACTGTCACTGAACAGCCATACGCAAGGCAGCCACTTTACACAGACACCAAGTTGGCCATTTTTGTGGTCAACAATTGACAACAATTGGGTGGTCAGAGGAAGACTAGCCATCTCAGTCGATCTTCTCTGATGCTTTCACTCGGCGCTCTGCAGCACGCGACGAACGGGCAAAGGCCGCACAGTGCACGGAAATCAATCGTCCAGCTAATGGCAAGCATCGTTGATTGATCAGCTACAAAAAAATGAACAGAGCAGTCAGTGTGCCCCTCGTCAGTCACTCCAGTTAGTTACTTTCCCCGGCAGTATGTGGCAACCTGAAATGAAGCAGCACAAGCAACAGCTCTCACTTTAGTTTCATCGTTCAATGAAGTGTCTAGACAAGGAGAAGAAGGCTAGAGTGAGTGGTGCATGTAGTGCAGCAGCCAAGTGACAGCTCACATCGTCTTCGTCGCTGTCGCCGCCGACCACTGACCGACCGGTCTGCGCCAGCTCACACTAACAAGCCCTGTCGACAGCAGTCGTTTTGTCCAGCACAGTTTTTGCAAGTGTGAGTGTGTCTTCATTTCTCACTCTCTGTTCTTTGTCAGTGTGTTATATTTACTTTTCGCCTAGGGCTTATCTCTCAGCACAATTAGAAAGTCCTCTCATCGCTGTAAGCACTGAATTAATCAGCGTTTGAGCCCATTTACCGAGTAACCTACCTACTATTGATTCGCAACATCGAGGGATGCCTGAGGAGCAGCGATACAGTGCCCACCATGCACTCACACGTACACACTATCGCCTGTTGGCACATTCCCGCATGGGTGTCTGTTTATCTGTGCGTGTAAGTGTGTTTCGGAGAGTGTGCAAACTTCAAAATGCCATCGTGTGTGAGCCAAGTGGCTTCGGTTGTTTGCCGATGATCCCCCAACAAATAATAACTTGGACCGTTTTAGTGCGGCTGCTGTTGTTTACACCATTTGACATTGTGAACCTTTTCGTTCTTGGACGTTGCTCTAATAAGCCCTAGAAAGGGCAGTGATTAGTTTTTAATGAGGACCTGCAAAACTGTGCTAAGTCAAACAATTAGACCTGAAGACAGCAGCAGCAGCTACTCTTGCAATTTTAGAGCGCGATTCAATTAATCACTGATGCAGTTCTCGACAGGCCTTGTTTGGGCAAAATTGATCGGCCATCTATTCATTAGAAAGGAATTGCAACTGCAACCTTCATCATTGTAACACAGGATGATGATAGCACTATTTGAGGCTGCTTTTTTGTTGTTGTGCAGAGAATGACCTGTCTCTGCACAGCGAATGAGATGGATCAACAAGAGTGTCTCATTTCAACATCACTTCGACACGATTTCCCCAGACACACGACGCTCAGAGCAACAGCAAAGAGCAGCAGCAAAAAGGGACAGACTTCTAAGCGATTTGAAGACTACTTGAACTACTTTGCGTGCCAAGTTGACTGGTAAAGTAATTGAGATGAAAAGAAAAGGAGATCACTCAACAAATAGACCACAAAATGAACCCTAGATGGTGGTTATCTGGCAGGCAGCCTGGTGACCGGCGGATGTGCTCTGTGCCAATGGCAGTGCGTGCTGTGCCAAATCGGCTTGTTGAATTTGCATAGTTTCTTTCTCTATCTTACTGAAAACTGTTATATTTAGCAGTGAATGAGAGGGGAAGGACTGGTCACTGTTTGTATATCAGCAGAGTGGCACATCATGTGGCCAGTCACGACATGGCAATCACATTGAATTTGCTCGCGCCAGCGTCAGTACACTCCGCCGACGGACACTGACTGCTGAGTTCGTGCACCGTCTTGTTGGTGCCTCAGAAAAGGCTCCACTTGCGTAATCACTGGCTTAGAAGAGAGGAGCTCAGACTGTACCAGCAGAGAGAGAGAGAGAGAGAGAGAGAGAGAGAGAGAACTGCCAGTTCTACCCTTTGCCTCCCTGGTCTCCCCCTCTTAATTGATTACACTCTTCTGACCATCATGCTTCAATGCATGCAGTGGTCACCGGTGAAGGATTTACCCGTTGTTGACTAGCTAGCTGGCTAGAAGCACCGATGACCGTGGTCGCACTGAAAAAGGTTACGGTGCGAGATGGTCGTCGGATGGCACAATTTAATTACCGTGCGACCTCGCTCGCTCGTTCCTTACTCACTCACTCACTCACTCACTAATGTCGTTGTTCTTTTTTCCCCTGTGTTTTTCACTTCTATAAATAGCCGCCGAATGTGGTGCCAATGAATTTCAATGCAAAAGCGATCACCTGTGCATTCCGTTGGCTCGAGTGGCGGACGGCAATTTTGATTGCCCAGGAGGTGAAGATGAAGACTGCAGCAACGAGGGCCTCGAGTCCACCGGCGTCGGCTGCATGAGCAATGAGCTTTTTGCTGGTAAGTACTCGCTCTTTCTCTTTCTTTTGCCTACTCTTTCTCCTTTTTCTCCATTTCCCTTCCTCTAACCATCCTTCCCTTGTGATTGTCGTACTAATAACATTCAATAACCTTGACGATGCACACATTCTCATACTGATCCTCTGTAAGTGCACTGTTGCTGTTGTTCCGCCGTGACTGTCTTGGTCACAGGCTCTAACACACAAACATTCACACACAGTTATCGGAGAAACGACTAATTAATAACTACCAGCACCAAGTGCACTGCGTGTCCAACTAACACACTAAAACCAGTCAACCCACCAACCAACTTCTCATTGACGGCTAACCTCCTTCGACTAACATCTCCTCGACTACTAACTGGGACAAGGCTACTAACCACACTTCGAAATCGAAACAGAACTAATTGGTAATCGGTGTCATTAATTTGCCTTCAATTAGGAATGGCCGCCCTTTCAGATGGAAAAGCTGGTCCGGGAAAGCAACGACAACCACAGGAAGACTTTGTGGACACTGGACAGGCGGCAAACAGTAAAAAGTCTGCTCCCATTAGCCCAATCTCTGCCAGTTTTGTTGAATTCACGGGCACTTTTCTTCCGTTTGCCGGTGCCACCGAACTGACCCCCTTTCACTACTACCCAGTTCCACTGGAGTCCTCCTCAACAGAGTCAGTCGTCGAGATAACTGGCACCTTTATTCCTGAACAAATGACCAGCTCGGCAAGCACAGCAACCGGATTGGAAATGAACCCTACAACTGAATCAACCTGGGCACAAGCTGAAACAACAACAGAGAGGACACCGGCAAACATTGTTGAAAAAGATGAGGATGGCCAAAGATGGTCTTCAGTTCGGGGAACCAATCAGACGTACGCTATTGGCGGGCAAATAGTAACACTGCTGACCAGCACTTACAACGGACCAACATCACAAGGACTGCTCTTTGCCTGTGCCCGGTCTCGCTTCTCTAGAACGCCCACAAACTGCAAAGATGTGCCCCTGAAGGTGACAGTTCACCGAGAGTCAAACAGCGGAGAGCCAGGCAGCAGTCGAAGCATCATGCTAGTGGATGTCCTTCCCGGAGAGGTCGTGCTCAAAATTTTCTCCCCCATCGGAGCGACAAAGGTGTCAGATCGGGTGAAGGCAGCTCAGGTGAAGCTGGGCAAGTTTCACTTTTCCGGCGTCGCCATCAGCGGCATCGAAAAGATCGACTTGAATCGACAGAGTCGACAGGTGCCCATTTCAGTGAAGGACTACGTCGACTTTAAAATCAGTATGAGTAGTGCGGCAGAGAGAAGCACTGTGGAGATTGTGGACATGAGAAATGTGGAGTTGACTGGCGCCAGCACGGCAACCTCAGCCTCAGCCGCCGACATGACCAGCAGCAACGGTGGAGTGCCTGCCAGTGCACTATCCTCAAGTGCATCCTCTTCAATCAATCGCAAGCACATGCGAACGCACACTGTGGGCAACCTCAACGGGCACTTCTCCAGTGCCCTAGTGCCCGGAGCGCTGACCAAGTCACTGCAAAGCTACTTCTCCAATCGCCTCATTCCGACGTACAGTCCGACGAAAATTGATCCCACTGTGGCCATTGTCGTGGCGGAGACAAAGTCAGCCGCCAGCACGTCAACAGCGCCGGCAATTCGCGCCACCAGCACCATCTTTGGCTTTATTGACTTTACCACGGTGGTGAACAACACACTGCTCATTTTCACACCCAAGGTGAAGGCGGAAATCAGTAGCACTAGTAAGATGATAGCTCGCATTGAGCCCACCCGAGCGGCCATCTTCCATGATTTTGTCAGCTCAACGGCGACAGGCAGCTCACTGATTGATCCACTTTTCGAGATTGGCAGCACTGGACAGCAGGAAGCTCTTCCGATTGCCAGTCGCTCCTCGTCATCCACTTACGAGGCTAGTGAAAGTGGTGCTAGCCATCACCTCATCACGTCATCATCATCGAAAGAGAAGGGGGAAACCGAGCCACTGGAAATGAGCAGCAGCTTTAATGAGCTTGACTCGAGCATGCCACTGTCGATGTCATCAGCGCTGGTCAGCGGCATCACCACCATCACCAGCGGCTTTATCCTCCCGAGCTTCTCCTCCAGTTTGGACGATCAGCAACTGCAGTCAGCCAGCATCAGCAGTGGCGACGGCAGCAACAACATCGCCGCAACGCCAGATGTGAGCACTGTCGCCAAAACAGCCGTTTTCAGCATCAATGAAGTCGCAAATGAATCGCCTGAGCCGAGCTCCGCGAACAGCAGGCAAATCACCTCGAGCAGTGTACTTCCGGTAGATAGTAGTGATACAGTGGTTCAGCCGACCAGACCACTGAAGACATTCTACACTACCTACACGTACTACACTACCTTCAAGGATGCTCAAACGCAGTTTGTTCACAGTCGAAAAGAAGTGGTCACCAATGTTGTAGAAATGCAACAGCAAATTTCCGCCTCTTCAGCGTCAAGTCAGCAAGCGAGGGCGAGCATACAAAGCACCTCAACCCGCCCAACATCTTCGATGGACTTGATTGACTCGTCGACAGTGTCTCCGGAGGAAACGGCCAAGCTTAGCTCCACGCCGAGTTTGCTTGATTCGAGCATGAAAAGCCACGATCCGGCCGGCACTGGAACTTCAGCTCCACTGAACAAGTCCTACCTCGGAAAGCTGCTGTCGGGAATAGCTGTTCCCATCACTCACTACACCACCTTCACCTACTACACGACCTTCTTCAAGGATATGACTTCTCAGATAGTGTCCCGCACTAAGGTGGTGTCCAACGTCGTCACGGGAACTATCAATCTAAATCAGGCAATACAAAAACGTTCCACTGAATATGCAGCCAGTCCACAGGACATTGTGCCGGAAGGCGCAGAAAACTTGCCCATTGTGATAACGCCCGTCACCGAATACGCTACCTCTACTTTTTTCACCACTTTCTTCGTACCCGGACAGGGCTCTACTGTGGTCACCAATATTCAGACACTCTCCAAAGTGTACCTACCTGAGTTCAGTGAAGTAAACCGACATCGACAGACTACAGCAACCACTATCAGACCGACGGCCACAACCAGGTCGTCGCTGGGTCGCTTGACATCAAGTAGGTCTGATCAAATAACTCGACAGATCAACGGTCTGCCTGTTCTGGAAAATGGCGATCTTCTTTTGTCCAGTGCCGAGTCGGCCCGAACTGCAGAGAGGTACTCTGAAGAGCCTGAAGCAGAGCTGATTAAGCCGACGGTCACTCGAAAGCGAATTGTCGTCACTCGAACGAGGTCTCTGCCGAACGCCGACTCCTTGAACGGTCTGCCTCGCAGGTCTACCGTCGTCGTCCGTGGCCCTCCGCGATCACTGTCCGACGTGGACACTGCCCCATCCTTCACCGAGGATCCACATGAACACCAGTTAGGTCGTCTGCACCCTTCGGTGACGCCTACTCCGGTGACCTTCTACACGACGTACACGTACTTCACGACGGAGCTAGTGAACGGCAGTCCGGTGGTGCACAGCAATGAACACCTCTTCAGTACGGTTATCACCGGGAAAGTGCTGCCCACTCGCGTTCAGCCGACACTGCAGCACCAGCGAGTGAAGCGAACCGTTGCCGTGGAGCCGTCAGTGGGCGGCAATGAACTGGCAGAAGAGTTCACGGACAATAAAATCGACAACAAGTCGGCGAAAATAATCAAAGCCAAGTCCACTGGGGTCGTCTCTGAGGTGATCAACAAGAGTGGCATTCACACTGTAGTCACTCAAATAATCGGCACGCTCATCAACGGTTTCTACGCCCAGTTTGCCGTCACAAAGACGCTGGAGCCCCAGCCAATGCTGGCGACAACTGCCGACAACATTGAGACGAACAATCAGGTCGATCAGTCGGAAACGGGCGAAGTGCCGAGCACAACTGAAAGCACCACTGAAGTGGAAACTCAAACTCAAACTGAAGCAGCAGCAATGGCAGCAGAGACCACTACTGCAATGTCCAGTGAGGCGACAGCAGACGCAGCAGCAACAACAACTGAAAGCAATACTACGGGGAACGAGGAAGTGACTACTATGGTGAACATCATCGAGGAGTCTATTGAAAGCATCTTGAATGACACGGAAAAGAGCACTTTGGCAGACAAGAGCGGCTCAAATTCCACCGAAATGGAGAAGTCAAAAGTAGAAAGTTCTATTTTTGCCTCCCACGCCGGCAATGTCTCCAGCGTTTCCAGTCGACTGGACCAAAAGACTGCTTCTTCGACTGAGTCGGAAACTAATTCCCCCGCTGTCAGCTCGCCGCCCTTGCTGCCATCAGTGAGCTTCCTCTCCGACACCATTGGCACCATTGTCTCTGTCAGCAGCCCCACACCTACACTCTCTGCGTCATCGAGCAGCAGCAGCCACTCAGTGTCTGAGACGGTGAAACCCGACTACCGCACCGGTTTGATCTCCTCCACTGTGGAGTCAATAACCGCAGGCAATCAGGTGACTCGCATCACCCGTGAAGTTTTTGGTACGTATATAGCGGGTATTTATGCCCACCTGGCCAAGACACGCTCGGACACTGTGGGACTGTCCACCTCTGCTACTTCTACCACTACTACTACCCAGACACACCTCACTACTCCCACACCCACTGCTTCTTTCTCTCTGCCTGCCTCTTCTGCTTCTTCCGGGTCTACTTCCTCCTCGGTGACTGCCATCATGTCCCTAGTTTCACCCTCCACTCTTTCTGCCTCTTTTCCCTCTGCTTCCACTGCGTCACTCTGGCCCACCCCGTCCCTGTCTGTGTCTGCAAGTCCACTCTCCACCGAGGAGGTCAGAAGCAGGTCGGAGAATGATACACTTGAGGAGTTCATTGCGCCCAGCACCAGTTGGTCCATGTTGCCTGGCCTCTCCACTGTGTCCCTCTCCACTGAAACCATAAACCAGACCATTTTAGTGCACACCACCGAGTACTACACCACCGAAATCAATGGCTTCACTGCACACTACTCGCGCAGTACATCGAACATTGCCGGAACGATTGAGCCGACCAGCAGCAGCGTCCCTAGCAGGCCTTCAGTCCACTTTCCTACGCCAGTTCGCTTTCTCTTTAGTACCAAGTCCCCTGAAGCGCTGAAGCCAGTGTACACCACCTCATCGAACATTATCGAGCCACCAAGAGCTTCGCGTAAATACAAAGAGCTGTACGGTAATGAGCACGACTACTACGATGAGCCTTATGCACAGCCCAGTGTTGGCCACCTTCCACGAAGCCGAATCATTAGGGAGAAAGATTCACAACCGGTGGTAGAGTACGAGTATGACCTAGACTATGCGGACAACTCTGAGCAGGCACACTCGCCAGAGCAGCCAAAGCCGACGCCCAGCTACGCCAGTGAGGCGCACTACCAGCCCTCCACTTACGGTCAGGTCAATCAGCGGGCTCAGCAACAGGCGAGAACGTACAACTCCATGAGCTATGGTGCCACGAGAAGGGGCTCCTCGGGATTTGGAGCTCGAGTCAGGTCGGGTGGGGGCAATCAGGAGCGTGTCGCTTTAGAGCAGTCCATTCCTGCGCCGGTTCGAGTCGTCGAGGAGCACACCGCCCAGCCAGTGCAGCCTCGCTCGCGACAGAACAATGGGGGTCGTCAGGCGGCGGCAGGTGCCGCTAATCGTCGTCGACAGCCAAGTCGAACAGCAGCCAGTCCTCCCCCGGCGCCGACACGTTCTCTGGACTACTACAACATCAACGACTACTCCTCTAGTCGATATCAGCCGCCAATGGAGGATGTGAGAGGTGGTGCCAGCTCGGTACCGAATCGAAATGAAGCAACCGGGCCTAGTGAGTACAGACGACCGATAAACCGACAGCGACAGCTAAGTCGGCAACGACGTCCTTACTCGAGCACGACCACAACGACGACCACTACGACGCCTGCTCCTCGCAACTACGCCTTACTGCCCAGTCAAAGACTTCGGCTGAATCGCAGGTACAACAACAACAACAATAACAACAATAATAATAATCGCAATCGAATGCACGACACCACTCCGAGCAATACTCGCATGCAGACGATGGACCATGATCTGAATCGTGAACGAAGTGAAGTGCACAAGGAAAGAGTTCGCTATCGAGGCCCCAGCAAGCCAGCAAACTTTCGCCAGTACGGTCAGCAGCCTAGTCGACAGACAGTCCCTCCTCGTGAGACCTACCAGGAGATGTACCCCGCCAATTCAGTATACTCCACACCCACAGTGCCAAAAGTGCCCCTCACGGTGACATCCATTGTGACCACAGTCAAAACAGTGCCAATTTTCCACGGCTTCAGGACGTCCTACGCCACACTGACCACTACCACACTGAGCACATCAGTTATACCGCCCAGTCTGTATGAGACCAGTGTCGATGAGGACGGACAGAGGACGCAAACTCTCTTCACCAGAATGACCGACTCCCTTGAGCCCCACAAAGTGACTGAGGTGCTGGTGACAACCAGTGCTCTGCAAGAGGTGAAGCTAGTGCCCATCAAGTTCGGCTACAGCACCCGAACTGAGACGCTGACTGACGTGAAGACCTTCACCATGCTCACCACCAGTGTGCACACTCGAAGTCAGGAGTTGCAGCTGCCGCCTCCACCTGGCTCCTCACTGCTGACCACCGTGACCACGTTTGTCAGCACGCAGACTCTCTCCTCGACGACGGCCGTTTCGCTGCTGCTGCACGGAAAGACGCTAGTCAGCACGCTGACTTTTACCTCGCTCTCTGAGGCGACCGTCACCAGGACGGAAACGCTGACGGTGGCGTTGACCCCCACGGCAGCCCCCGGCGCAGGCATTCACCCTCAGCCGCTGGTGACCCTGCTGACGCTGTCCATCACCGGGGACAATGGCGAGGTGACCGAGCTGGTCACCGCACTGACCGTGCCTGTGCAGCAGATGCTGCACACCAAGGTGGAGCGGGACGTGAAGCCAACTAGCAGCTTCTCACTGGACGAGCACAGACACAGACCACAACCAAACCCTCCTCTTCCTCCTTCTCCTCAGCACATTGTGCTGGAGAGCTCTACCTCTGCTCCCCATCTGCTCCACAATAACTATCTTTCCGCTTCCTTTAAAACCGTTGATCAGTACTCGGAGACTCACCCTTTCTTTATAACCACCATTTTTAAAGGTCCCAACACTGAAATATACGAGGCGCAGGCGACCAAGGTTACCAGTAACTCTGCTGACAACGACGACAGCCCTCCGGTGATCTTTCGCAAGCGTAAACTGCACCAGTTCAACGACAATCTCTACAAGGAGCCATTGCCAGTCCTGACGGCCGATGGCAACTTCGAGAGTGAACGCAGCGGCGGAATCAACAGTAAGCCACAGGCGGGCGCCAGGAAGCCGTCATTTCAGCGGATTCGCATCAAATCACGGCCCAATGCTCCCAAGTCGCCCAGTGAGTCGCGGCTGAGTGAGTTCAATCGTGTGATGGGCCTTTCCGACGGCTCATTTGCTGCCAGCTCCTCTGCCAACTCCTTCCGCCGTCTGCCCATCTCCCGTGAGCCCCAGCAGCAGAACGTCTACAGCAGTGCCCCCAGCTCTGTGTACACATTTCCCTCGTCCTCTGCCACCTACTTGCTGGCGAACAACTTCCAGAAGCCCACCTTCCGAAAGGTGAAGCCCGCAAACAACCGCCGCATAGTGTCCAGCATTCGCACCGTGCAGCCAATCATCGTCAGCTCGGTGATTCAGCCTAGTCAAGTGTTTGCGTCCTCACTGCACAACTACAACTCAAATTTTATGGAGGTCGCCAAACCATCACACTCAGGGAGCAACAGCAGACCTAATGTTCACAATGCGGCAGCCTTCCAGTCGCAGGCAAGTCACCTGCAGCCTGAGCTGCAACACCTGCGCAGCCCCGATCACCACCACCACCGTCAACCAGTGAGTGGCAACACTCGTAATCGATTCAACTCAGTCGATGGTCTGGAGGCCTTTGAGCCAAATGGACACCGAAATGAGTTCACCGACAACTACATCGGCAGTCTGAGGGCGCCCAGCGCAGCTATTGGCCTCTTTGCCACTCAGCCAGCAGTGGAGCCGTCAGTGCACACGCCGACCATTCCACTGACGTACTACACCACTTTCACCTATCTCACCACGGTCATTCGAGGGCCTCACACTGCTCACCTGAGCAGAGAAAGTGTCACCTCAGCGGTCACTACGCGGGCGCTAGACAAGAGCATCGTTGAAGTGGTTCGCGACAATGATGGCGTCATTGAGCCCACCAAAGTGCTGCAGCTCGGAGTGAAGACAAAGGGCTTCACTACGACCGTGTACAACGCTGTCTCGCAGGTGCAGATCTACAACGAGGACCTGTACAATGTCATTCAAAAGACGTACAATAAGAACATTCAGTTCAAACCATGGCAATCGAGCAGCGCCTACCAGCCGGTCTTTCTCACTAATCACGTGGAGCCACAGCGAGAGTCCAGCCGAGTGTGGCCGCCGTTGAGCTCTGCTGATTTGGACTTTTCCAGTCCACTGGTGGTGAACCCGAACAAGGTGAACCTGGAAATGTCTTCGGCCAGTCACATCGAAGCCAGTCCACCTCGCGGCAATCACTTTGACTTTTCCACTGCCAGCCTTCACCTGGTGACACCGATGCTCTCCAGCTCTGAGGAGGTTGTTGGCCATCATCAGCACGGTGATCCACTGGGGTCGGTGAGTCGTACGCCGACCATCGAGGAAACAGCCCTGCTCGCCGCCAGTCCCGTCGCCTCTCGTCCAGTGCGAATCAGCTCGAGTGTGTTGGTGCGTAAGCCGTCCAACTCCAAGTACGCCTACCTTTACACTCGCAGTCGCCTTCGCGTTCGCGTTAAGGGCACAAACAGCGACAGTGCTGAAGGCGGCAGTGCAGTGCCCAACAGTGCCGTCACCAACACGTCACCGCTGTTCACCTCTTCAGAGACGTACGAAATCGACAGCACTCAGGTGGCCACTGAGCAGGCGACGCCCTCATTAAAACCTGGTCGCATTCGAACAACTAAATCAAAGATCGTCTTCCGACCACGCAACTCCAACGCCGTACTGAGCACAATCAATCCGAATATGATTCGAGTCAGCAGTCGTGTCTTCCGACCAAGTGTCACCTTGGATCCGCTCACATCGTCGGTTATTTTAGTGGACAGCCCTGATAACCTGCCCCTTGATGAGTCTTCCGCCGGCAATAGCTTTGAGCCTGAGCAGCCTGCACTGGACAGTATTGCCCACTCTGACAATGCCAGGGCGAACAAGTTCACCCGAGTCTCCAACGGCGTGACGCTGATCATCAGTAGTAAGGTGGCCACTCAAAACCGACCGTTCACCCTCGAGCCGACACTGGTGACGGGAGCAGCGGTGATGATGAAGCCCATCGACCCCAGTGCCCCTCCAATGCCTGACATGTCCAGTCCGGCGGAGCCACGTAAGCAGTACAACACCTTTACTTATCACACCACATATACACAGGGCGACAAAACGTACGTCTCCAGCTCGAAGGCCACCGTCGAGAAGGAGAGCATCGAGCCGTCCACCACCACCGAGACAGTGCAAGTTCTAAAGACGAGCACTCTCTACTCGACGCTGACCTACTTTGCCACGCTCTTCAACGGCAGCGCCAGCACCATCACGCCGATAGAGGACGTCAAGACGGAGTACATTACCTTCCCTGAGTCGAGCGTGGTCACGCGAACGATCGAGCCGAGCAGACCCTCTGACGCCGATCTGATCACCCAAACGCACTTTACCACCTACACCAACCTGGCGACCGTCTTCTCTGACAGCAAGCCAGTGGTGTCCACCCTCCACGAGGTGGTCAGCAGTGAGGTGGTACTCTCCAAGTCTCGCTCCAACGCTCAGTACTCGATGCCAGTGTCGGTGGCGAGCAGCAGTCAGTCGGTGAAGCCGAGTCGAACCACCACTCGAAGCACTCACACCACTCTGACTCACTTCATCACGCTCTTCAGTGGGACGCACACCATTCTCTCGTCCATTGAGGAGATCAGCCCGACGGTGGTCACCGAAGTGGTGGGACAGTCGAGCACCAGTTCACCCAGTGAACAGCACCGCCTCAACATGCCGCACATTCGCTTCACGCAGCCTTCGGCTGACCCTGCCAAGCAGACGAAGAACCGCTTCGGTGGTCTGGTGCCCAGTGTGAGCACGCTCTTCACTACGCACACCTACTACACGACGCTCTTCAGTGGCACTACCTCGGTGATCCAGAGCAGAGAGGAGACGACCCACTCGCTGGTGACGTTGTACGTGCACAGCACAGTGGCCGCCATTCAGCCAACGAGCACTGCTGCCGGCATTGAGCCGTCAGTGCGCTTCGAGAGCAGCACCATTGTCCCTGCAAGCAGCTCCTACGTGCCTGACCTGGTGGAAAGTAGTGAACACCAACTGGAGCCCAGTTCGGTCTTCCCTGAAGGGGCCTCCTCTGCAACGCCTTCCATCGACGATGAATCGGCCATTGTCTTCTTTACCAATTTCATTCTCCCATCCAGTGTCACTGACACGGAGAACACCATTGACCAAGCAAAGGGGCCGCTGATGAACCACGGTCAGCTTAGCACACCGGGCGGTGCAAGCCAGATCAGGCCTGACCAGGCGACAAAGCCACTGGAAATGCCGCCAGTGACACTGGTTCAGGACGCCGCTGGACAGCCTAGCACAGCACAGGGCAACAACACCATAAAACCAGGGGCAATAATTGAGCTGAGTGACTTACTTGATGGCGCCAATTTAGCAGGCAACATTGGCGAGGCCATAAAAGACATTGTTCAGATACTCTCCAAGGGCCAGAAGAGCAAAGTGCCCATGGCAGGAGAGGAGATTGACCGAACTAGTGCAGTGCAGGAGATGCCCCCCAAGGAGGGCGCTACAGTTAGTCACCTCGACAATCCAGTGTACATTCCAATGTATCCAGCGAACAGTGAGACCAGACCGGAGACTACCTCATCAGTGGAGATACCGCCAGTGGCCTATGTGCCTGCCTTCAGTTCGCCGCCCATTGCTCCGACGACCACTCAGTCGAGGTCGATGGCAGTAATGCCCACGTTCATCTGGTCAGGTGAACTGCCACCTGCGCCCAGCAGCAGCATCGGCAGCAGTAGTTCTCTGCCAAAGTTGTTCTCAAGGAGCTCAACGTTTGTCCGAGCTCCAGTCGAAGTGACGCCTACTTTACTAGGCAGTGCGGGTGATGAGAAGACGCGTTACTACACCAGCGTTGAGGCTACTCCCACGACAGTAGTGTTGACCACCACAAAGGTAAGTGTTTGCCAGTTTTGTGTTTTCATTTTTAATTTGGTTAAACTGTTTAATGACGACCAAACAGGTCTACTACACCCGCGATGCCCCGCTTACCATCACCTCGGAGTACGTGTCCACGCTGCCACCAAAGACGATCATTACGACGGTAGCTGGCACAAAAACGGCCATCAACACCTACAGTAGCGAGATAGCGGCAACATCAACTCAGAAGCAGCCGGCCATTACTGCAGTGCATTCAGTGTCCAGCAAACCAGAGACGTCAGGTCGACCGATCAGACCGACTCGAAAGCCCGGCGTGAATCGATTCAAGCCACCGACAAGACCAACAGAGGGCCCGAAGATATTCAAGACCAGTCACCGACCAAGAGCGCCATACAAACCGTCGCCTACGCCGCCGCCTGAATTTGTTCCAGAGGACAGTGGCAAGGGATCGTTTAAAAAGTCGACTAAAGCCTTCATGCCAAAGACTACAACTCGACCGTCTATCCTTGATCTGGACCAGTGCAAGCCAGCCTGCAATGCAGCTAACAAGGAGATCTGCAAAGAATTTGCTGGCAAGTTCAAATGCGATTGTCGCCCTGGATACACTAAAAAGCTGGGCAGTGATACTTGCCATGGTAAGTAAAAAAGGATTGATGAGGTTTTTTGTTCGTACCTTTGTAAAACGCATCGTTTTTTTTGTTTGCAGAACTGCAAAACTTTATTGTACTAGTTCGTGTAACTAAACTGGGCGAATCAGACGTCGTTTGGCAGTCTGACCTACTGAATCGCACCTCAGATCAGTATATGAACTTGGCAAAGGCGGCCCGAACTCAGTTGGACGGCGCTCACGTCACCGAGGAACTGAAGGACAACTACATCAGCTCTGGTCAGTAGTTCATTATCTATATGATTTGATTGTTTTTTATTTTTACCTTTCATTCTTCTGTTTTCAATTGTCATTAGATGTGATGAGCATTGATCAGGCTACAGATGGCAACGGTGTTCTGGTGAACATGACCATTCACCTCACTGAGAGCGGCAATCTTGACGAAGACCTCTTGAAGGAGAAGTTGGCGAGAACGCTTGAGAAGTCTTCAGAACAACTGCCCAGCCCATCGCAGATTTACGCCGATTTAGAGGATGTGGCGGACTTTGACGAGTGCAGCTCTGAGGAGTACAACGACTGTGCCAGCTCTGCACGGTGCATCAACGAGCTAGGCACCTACAAGTGTGAGTGCCTGAACGGCTATCCCGATCTAGATCCAGGCAATCCAGGACGAATGTGCTCTTCAGAGATCAAGGCATGTGAGTTCTGCAACGGACGCGGTGACTGCTTCCGAGATGAGACCGGCCAGATCAGCTCTTGCAAGTGCCATCGCATGTACCTCGGACGGCGGTGTGACATCAATGGCTTGCGTAAGTTCCCTTTGCACTTTATTCTAATTTGTCCCCTGTTTAACCCCTTCAATCAATCTAGTACTGGCCATTTTCATTCCCATATTTGCCATTCTTTGCATATTGTCTATTTGCTTGGTCGCCTACTGCTGTCGTAAATGGAGAAACCGAGCTCTGACAAAGGGCTTCCGTAATTTGTCAGCTTACGGGCCAACGATGATTGGCAACACGTTAGACAGGAAAGCGATGATTGACACTTCCAGCGACAACAGCGATCCACTGCGGTCGCACTTGTCGTACGAAGGACAGGGAATGACTTCGGTATGTGCCACCTTGCTCCTAATTGCTAAATGCTAATGTACTTACCACTGTTTCTGCACAATGTACCTTTGCCCACCTCAGACGGAAGCAACACTGCCTCGTGACTACCGACGGCGGCGAGAGAGCGAACTGAGCTCCGATCGAAGCTTCACCTCAATTCAGGCGGCCACTGCTGCCAACTACAACTTCTCACCTCAATTTATGATTCCTCGCGTTCGGAACACGACGACGACTCCTGCAGTGAACAGTCACTACGGCCACAGTAGCTCGCACCACCAGCAGGGACACTACGGACGCAGCCATCACCGCCACAGTCATCACCAGGCAGGCGGAGGGGGCGGCGCAGGTGGCGGCAGTAGTGCTCATCTCAATAAGCAGACGGGCAGAGGGGAGCACATTGGCCACTGCCACCACCAGAACGATCACCACCAGAGTGGACACAGCCACCACCATCACAGTCACCATGGCTCAAGTTACGACCTGCACTACAATGAGCATCCTAGCAACCAGCGAGGCCACCATTCCTACATGTGGTGAGAAGGACACTACCGCCACCACTACCACCACCACCGGCCACTGACTGGGCGGCCATTGTCGCTGTGATAGAAGGAGTCTCCAGCCCCGTCCCTGCTGCCTCGGCGGCGACCTGTGCGATGTCTCAGCTGCAGGACAGCCATCCACTGCCACTACACTGCCTTTTTTGTACAGATCACTACTCTCACTCACTCTCAAACACACACACGAGGCCAGCCGGGTCACACAACATTGCTCTCACGTCTTCATATTTCCTTGGCCCGGAGAGAGGACCGTTTGCCCGGCTGGCTGCTTCACAACCGAACAATGCTCAGACCATATTCACCACCAGCATCACCACTCATTCATCTATTCATTCATTTTCATTGATGAACTCTGTTTCACCTAGCATTCACATCTTTTTTGTTATTTTTTTCACTACGCCCACTACCTTAGTGACGCGTTGATTTTGCACTTGTAAAATATTTTAGCATGAATCCTATTTAAATGATTGCATCTCACCAGTTTTCCTGATTAGTTTTTGTTTGCAATACTGCCAGTTAGCCGTTAATTGGTCAGCAGTCTCCCATTGCAAACAGAAATTAAACTACAAACAAGCACTCAAAAGTAATAAGAAGAATCTCCAGAGGCAAACATTTTAGCAGCTGTCAAGATAATTAATTGAGAAAAAACTTGGCAATTTGTTTATTGGTTGCTTTGGGAATGAGAATAAATATAAAGAGTACGAGGGAAGGTGGTGAGAAAAGAGAGAAAGAGAGAGAGCGAGAGAGTGGAAAGGAGAGTTAATCAATTAGTTAATGATATAACAGTAGTAGTGAAAGGGAAAACAGGTAGATTCTACAATAAGTGAGAAAGGGAGAGAGAGAGAGTGAAGTTCCGCTACGTGGGAGTGAGAATGAGTCTGAGAGAGAGAGAGGGAAAGAGAGGGTGAGAAAGTTGAGATGACTGAGGCGCACCCGTGTGGGCGAATCACTGGTTCGGAAGGAGCACTGTTGACGGCCACGCTTGGCAAGCTGAGATGCTCCTTTCGACAGGCTGGCTAGTCCTCAGCTCGCCGATTGCTTCGGTCAAGGAATCGCCACCTTCTAAACACTGCCACCTTTGCCGGGGGAGGGGCAGAGTCTAGCGCTATCGTCTCCTCCAACAGTGATCCATTGGCTGCCAGGAAAGAGCTGCTTTTGATTTGTTGTTGTATATACCTTATATTATTATTACACTCTACTATACAATGACTAAAGAGAGGGCTGATGCTAATTTGGCTGCTGACACACAAGAACGGAGTCATTGCTGAGTTGCTGTGCGTCCAGAAAGTTGAACGCAAACTCCACCGAGTTGTCGTAGCGTCCACTGGAGACTAGGCGGACTGCAGTGTTCGGACAGTGCACTGTGAATTTTCGTTTGTCTACAGAGCACAAAGGGAGAGAAAATAGAAAGACGGAGACACCGAAATAGAGTCGCTGCTGTTTTTGCCTGTTTGTCTATCAATTTGCCTATTCGATTGCAGATCATGTGCAGAGGAATGGGCAAAACACACACACACTTACATGAGGATGCCGTTCGTACGCCGCACATATCTTCTGCCAGTTGCATCTGATTGGGATCGAGGCCATACCCGCCGAGCAGTTCGACGTAGTCGTCTCTGCCTCGCTTCTGGCACTGTAGGAGCAGCGGAGAAAGAGAAAAATGTGCATTAATTAGTAAATCTGTTTACCGTGAATGATTTTATCCGCCCCCAACTCTGTACGCTGCGGCTGGAGGGCTGCGGTCCGCTGAGACCAGCCTGTTTCCTGTCTACTAACCTTCTTAAGGAGGCTCGTCTCGACGAGAAAGTTACGACTTGACAGAAGATTGCCAATCGGTCGGTGGCTGTGTCCGACGATCATTGATAGAATTTGAAAGCTGCCCTCGTATAGTAAGGAGACCGTACAGTTGGTGCGCCGACCAAAGTTGCGTATAGTGTACATGGTGTTCACTTCCACCATGATTACATTGCAGGCTGTCAGAAGGAATGAAGTAATCAATGGGTTAGAATGTGTGTGTGAGCGTGAATGGTCATTTGAGCCATAGCAGCAGCAGCAGCAGTAGTAGTAGTGGTAGTGGTAGTGGAAACAGTAATCAGTAGTATTCACTTACGTTTAGGATTGGGCACAAAGCGTACGCGAACCATGAAACCCTGGCCCGCGATGGGAATTCGAAACTCGATCAAGCCGGCGTTTTGTGACATCGGAAAGGTCTTTCGTGGCTTGGCACCTCCGCAGAACTCGTGGTAGCGCACTTGGCGCGGAAGTGGGTGATCCTCCGGACCGGGAAAGAACTGGCCGTTCAACTCCCAGCCGTCCATGACACTCAGGAGACCGTGCTTGTCGCAGCTCACGTTGAAGTGTAGAAAGTCAATAACGACGTTCTCCTCTGGCCTGGCTAGAAGATAGAGACCGCAGATGGTGTTGCTGTTTCCAATCGACTGAAAGGAGTAGATGCCTTCTTCGGTTTTGGTGAAAATGCAATCTGACAGACGAGGTGTAAAGTGGTGAGTAATACAATTAAAGCCTATTAATAGATGCGCTGCTGAAAATGAAACTCAACAATACCTTGAGGATTTGGATGCAATGAGTGCACTTCATGTAATTTGGACGATTCCGCAAGTGGCGGTTCTTTACTGCTACTAATGGATTCGCTTGTCTGATTGAGTTAGGCAATCCATTAACAGTGCCAAGCAATTGGATGAAGATTGCATTGAAAAGAAGGGGAGGGAAGGAGAAAGTAGGGGAAGTAAAAGATAAATAGATGCCATTAATGAAATGGGTCGTATTTTAAGTTAATTAGAGCATCGCTTCAGCCGTTTAGTCTGCTACATTTCTGCGACAACCGCCTCCACCTAGAAGCAAGGTACCTAGCCAGTAGTAGCTGTTCAGTGGTGCAGAGCACTGAATTACTCGTCTGTCAAGTAGCATCATCATCTGGAGCACAGACACACAAACAGACAAACACACTTATTTGCTTTGTGTGTTGTCTGTTGCTGTGCTAGTGCAGATGTTGCATCTGCAGCAGTGGCACATTTCAGCTGTGTTTTGTAGGTATTTGCAAAATGCAGACACCTACAGGTGATTGATTGCAGACACCGAGGGCGTGAAGGCGCTCGGAAGTGAGTCGCTACCTGCGTCAATGGCCAGTGTACCTGCACTGACTCACTTGTCACGCGGTCTGCTCTGGCAGTGCGGGAGTGCGGTCGTGATGCACGGTGCAACAACCCGAATGCAGTGGAAACCACTTAAGCCTTAAACACTCTTTTGGTGTCTGACTGCCTTGCACAGAGGCATTCCCAAGCTAGGTCATCACTGGGAAGCACGCGCGCACGGCACAGCACTAATTACTGGGTACTTACGTCAGCGTTCGGTGAAATGATATGCGCTGCAATGAGGTTGAAGAGCATTAAAACGTTGAAGAGTATAATGATGACAGCTGATGTGCTGGTGCTCTGGTTGATTGGACTCATTTTGGTCGACTTTTTAGTGTGAAAAGGGGTAACAGCAAAAACGAAAAAACAAGTGGAAAAAAATAAAAAAAGGTGGGAGAAAAATAAAAATAGGGATGGAATGAATAATGTGAAAATAGGAGGCTCAGGTCCAGTTGTAAAGGTTCTGATGTTTGATTGCAAAGAAGGCTGGTGAAAAGCACTTCTCAAGGCGGGGCAGTTCGCGCAGCTTTTGAGGTTATCAATTAAAAAAAATTATTTGTTTATTGTTTTTTTGGTTGACGCACACTGAAAGTGAGGATGAAAGCGTCTGGAGGTGTGGGATGAGATGAATTCGGTTGAAATCAGTCGGAAAGCAGAGGAGAACAAAAAGTAGAAGCGTGCAGTGCACGGCAGCACACCTGCGGAAGTGCGAGGTTAGAACACAGTGGGCACTAACAAATCAGCGTGTGGTTGTGTTTGTCGGTGTGTACAGTGATCGCTTTTGATTCTTCAATTCGAGTCGCTCCTGTTTATTCGTTTGTCAGGCAGTTGTTTGCTAGTCGCTGAATCATCGACCGCGTTGAATATGTTGATTGTGCTGATCACCACAGACAGCTGCAGCACAGACAATGGGGACCTGTGTGCGCTTGCCGATTTTGAGGAGAAGAAGGAGAAATTAGAATGGTGACAATGGACAACAGTGATCAGCTTGCTGCAGCAGTTTTAAACGCGAGCACTTGAGCTTAACCGCCCAGCAGAAATGGCCGAGTTGGTAGTGGTGATGGTGCCAGTTGTGACGGTGTTGCTTCTGCAGCCAGTGTTCGTCGTCGCATCTCCTCAAGTGAGGCGCGAGCGCTGCTGAATCGAACGGTCCGCTTTGCTGCAGCGACACAGTGCGAATCGGTGCAATTGGATGCGATTTGGCAAACTTATTTGCAGATTGGAAGGTGCCGACGACGACGACGGCGACGACGACTGCAGTTGCAAGTGGAGAGAAGAGAAATGCTGCCCGAACGATTGTCCGACTCGACTCCAGCGCATGCTTCGGTTTGCGTGGTCAAAGAGTGCTTGCAAATCAAGACCAGAGCGGCTTTCAGACGTGGGCGGCTGTTTTTTGCTGCTGTTGGTGGTGGCTCCTTGCTGACTTTTCCTGACTGATGCTGCAACAGTGGCAACTTTTCTGCTTTTAACTGAAAAGTCTCTAGTTCAGCACGTGCCGCAGGAGTCAGTATCAGTTGTTGCAATGTTAGGAAGCGAAAGACAGCTGAAAAAACAGGTGAAACAAAATGTTGATCAAGTGAAGATGAAAGTGTTTCCGACTTTCTGAAAATGTGAGTTGAAGTAAACGCTGGTAAAATAAGGAAGTAGGAAGGAAGTTATAATAACAAGTAGACGTCAGTTCAAGGTAGTTGAAGTAGCAGTGACCAGAAAGGTAGTTTTTTCCTAACTTTAGATGCACTAAAATCAACCTAAATTTGTTGTTGACTAGGTGAGCCAATTGGGCGAACTTTGGGTAAAGAGGAGTAAAAGTGAAAAGACTTCCGAGTAGTAGACACGTCATTAAGGAACAAAAGACTCAATTCACAGTCAATGCTTTTCGCAGGGATGCGGCCAAGAGGAAAACGAACTGACACCAGCAATGTCGTGCAAACACACACACACATACACATCCAAACACCAAAGTAGCCAATTTGTATCGGTAACAATGTCATCACTCACATGGGAAGAGTGGGGTCACGAATAGTGGAGAAAAGTGCAAACAGTTTGGCTACAAGTTTTTCATCATCATTTAATGAGGATCTCTATCACCACTAGCATCATCTTCATCATTTGACTGCTGGTGAGTGCGCTGACAGAAATTGCCCGCTCAATGGTAAAAATGCCATGTGATGAAGAGGAAAAATGCACAAAGATAATGTTCGGCAGCCCAACAAGAACCGGCGGCATTGAGGGAAAGGAAGCGACGTATGTGGCAATGATGTGATGGCATTGGCAATCAGCACTGTCATAGTTCGTCACAGCGAAAACACAACGTGCTCAGGTGATGGAAAACTGTGCACTCACACTCACACACACCCAGCAATGACTGGCTAGTGAGAAATAGTGATCGACTTTGTGGTCATTCTGGGTGATCTAGCATGACGAAGCTGATGGCGAAAACAGAGCGTAAAAGATTCTGAGGTTCGGTGAGGACCAGCAACCACTTCACGGGTGCACAGTGAGCCGTGAGGTGGATTTTTACTGTGACCACCTGCTAAGTAATGTTGAATGAGATTTTGAGTGTGAGTGAGTAAGTGAGCTTACTCTGTCAGTTGCAAGCAAGGTTGGTTGCACAGCCGGCAAGAGTTACAGACGGTGGCGATGATGCTGGTTCATTCACAGAATCGTTGTACTCAAGTGCACCTCACTAATTGGCAATGAGTGCGACAAAAGAGGAGTAAATGCCGTAGTAATCGGTCATGACGAGGAAAACTGCCGTCGAAAGGCTGGCTGCAATTTGCAGCGCAATTGAAAGTGAAAGTTAAAACACTGAAACTGCTTTTTTTATTCAACAGTATGATGTCACTCAGTTGCTCATACTGCTGGCTGACTGTAGTGCCGAGTGATTCCTATCGATTCGATATTTATAGATAAGTTCGTCAGATCGGCGTGGCGCAAATTGAGGAAGCCAGCACTGGCTAAAGAGGGGCAGAGAGAAAGGGAAAAAGAGAAAAAGAATACTGCCGTCAATTGGTGAGATAACCACGGCGTCCTGACAGTGACGAGATGCGCCGCTAATGTGACGCCCGGTGGAGAGAAGCAGAGCCAGCAGATGAAAAGGAAGCGAATCGAGTGACGGGAGGCCGTAATGTGCCGTTCCGTGCCGTGTCATGGCTAATAGTCACCATTAATCATAAAAGCACCCGATCAGTCGGGCCTTCTCTGTTTGTGTGTGTGCGCTTGGTGAGCAGTGAGCAAGTTAAAGCTACTCAAAATTACCGAAATACTTCTAATTTTCCGGCAATCGCTAGCTGATTCTGTCGCTCTTTCACTTGCCTCACTGGCTTTCCAGCGCTCCTTCCCAGTTAGCTCCGTTTTAGTTTTGCGGCAGTATATTTAGCAGTAGTAAGACCATGCGACTGCTGAGATAAATTGGCTCGGTGCAAATAACAGACATATTTAGACATTTAGCCATTCTTTATCGATACATTCCACGCGGCATCTCCTTACCGCCTTCACTTCAGTGACAGTCGATGACATTTTGCCTCGTGGTGTGCCACCGGGATGCTTTCAACTGTCATGTGTGCTTGCTCCTTTTTGTTGCCCGATTGTTTGCCCACACGGTGATGACGACGACGACGACTTTGTCAATTAGCGCAACGTTTATCACTGCTCCGTTTCACCGTATTAACCACTCCGCGTATAGGTTGCACATGTTTTGCATGCCGACGACTTTGGCTCACATGGCTGAAACGTCCTCGCAAACTGCAAGAGCAAAAATGAAGAAAAGAAAAAAGGGAAAACATCAACACATTGAGGCACACACACACAATTGCCCTTTCCAATTTGTTTCTGTCCCGCAAAAGACATCAACACACGCGCCATTGCCTCAGTCGACGGCAACATAAAAGGTCAACATATCGTTCACTGTCACTGTCACTTGCTCTCACCTGTCCTCTCCTGTCACCTGTATCTGACCATCAGTGTGCTGTCATCTTGTTTAGACTGGAAACTTTATTTACTACCAAAGTGGTCCAACTATTTTTGAAGCCAGTAACTCACTTGAGCAGCATGACGTAATTCATTATTGCTGCTCATCCACTTACCTATATTTTACTACAATTAAGATGACAAGTGTTTTAGCTTGAATGCTTACAGGCACAACTGCTAATTGGTTCATAAATAAGAGAAATGAACATGACAAGCCATTCAAAGGTTGCCTCTTGTTCCTTCACTCTCTCCTTCTCTCTTTCTGTAACTTGTCCATTTGAAGTTTTGGACTGCGGTGTTGTGCAGACAAAAAGAATCGGTACCTGGAAATAAACTAGTGGTTTCAATAAAGAAAAAACAG